GGTGTGCCCAATGGGTGTGTCCCAATGGGTGTGTCCCAATGGGCGTGTCCCAATGGGTGTGTCCCCAAAGGGCGTGTCCCAATGGGTGTGTCCCCAAGGGTGTGTCCCAATGGGTGTGTCCCCAAGGGTGTGTCCCAATGGGCGTGTCCCCAATGGGTGTGTCCCAAGGGGCGTGTCCCAATGGGTGTGTCCCAAAGGGCTAGTGTCCCAATGGGTGTGTCCCAGGGGTGTCCCAATGGGTGTGTCCCAGTGGGCGTGTCCCCCAATGGGTGTGTCCCAGGGCGTGACCCAATGGGTGTGTCCCAATGGCGGTCCCATGGGTGTCCCAAAGGGCGTGTCCCAATGGGTGTGTCCCCAATGGGTGTGTCCCAGGGGGCGTGTCCCCACTGGGTGTGTCCCAGGGGTGTGTCCCAATGGCGTCCAGGGCGTGTCCCACTGGGTGTGTCCCAGTGGGCGTGTCCCAACGGGTGTGTCCCCAATGGGTGTGTCCCCAATGGGTGTGTCCCAATGGGCATGTCCCCAAAAGGGTGTGTCCCAATGGGTGTGTCCCCAATGGGTGTGTCCCAGGGGTGACCCCAGGTGTGTCCCCAATGGGCATGTCCCAGGCGTGTCCCCAATAGGCGTGTCCCAATGGGCGTGTCCCAATGGCTGTGTCCCCACTGGGTGTGTCCCAGTGGGCGTGTCCCCAGTGGGCGTGTCCCAATGGGCGTGTCCCAATGGCTGTGTCCCCAGGGGGGCGTGTCCCCAATGGGTGTGTCCCCACTGGGCGTGTCCTCAATGGTTGTGTCCCCAAGAGGGCGTGTCCCAATGGGCGTGTCCCAACGGGCATGTCCCAAAGGGTGTGTCCCAATGGGTGTGTCCCAGAGGGCGTGTCCCAATGGGTGTGTCCCCAAAGGGTGTGTCCCAGTGGGTGTGTCCCCAGTGGGCGTGTCCAAATGGGTGTGTCCCAATGGGTGTGTCCCCACAGGGCGTATCCCAGTGGTTGTGTCCCAATGGGCGTGTCCCAGTGGGTGTGTCCCCCAAGGGTGTGTCCCCAAGGGGCGTGTCCCCAATGGGTGTGTCCCAGTGGGCGTGTCCCCATGGGTGTGTCCCCAAGGGGGTGTGTCCCAATGGGCGTGTCCCAATGGGTGTGTCCCAAAGGGCGTGTCCCAATAGGTGTGTCCCCAGTGGGTGTGTCCCAATGGGCGTGTCCCATGGGCGTGTCCCCAAGGGGGCGTGTCCCCAATGGGCGTGTCCCATGGGCGTGTCCCAATGGGCCTGTCCCAGTGGGCGTGTCCAATGGGCATGTCCCAGTGGGTGTGTCCCCCAAGGGGGTGTGTCCCAATGGGCGTGTCCCCAATGGGTGTGTCCCCAATGGGTGTGTCCCAATGGGTGTGTCCCAGTGGGTGTGTCCCAATGGGTGTGTCCTCACTGAGTGTGTCCCAGTGGGTGTGTCCCAATGGGTGTGTCCCCAATGGGTGTGTCCCCAAAGGGGGTGTGTCCCAAAGGGTGTGTCCCCACTGGGTGTGTCCCAATGGGCGTGTCCCAGGGGCGTGTCCCAATAGGCGTGTCCCCACTGGGTGTGTCCCAAAGGGTGTGTCCTAATGGGCGTGTCCCAAAAGGGCATGTCCCAATGGGTGTGTCCCCAAGGGGGCATGTCCCAATGGGCGTGTCCCCAATGGGTGTGTCCTCAAAGGGTGTGTCCCCCAAGGGGGCGTGTCCCAAAGGGTGTGTCCCAATGGGTGTGTCCCCATGGGGGTGTCCCAATGGGCGTGTCCCCAAAGGGCGTGTCCCAATGGGTGTGTGTCCCAATGGGTGTGAGTCCCAATGGGTGTGTCCCCAATGGGTGTGTCCCAGTGGGTGTGTCCCCAGTGGGTGTGTCCCAGTGGGCGTGTCCCCAAAGGGTGTGTCCCAGTGGGCGTGTCCCAATGGGCGTGTCCCAAAGGGTGTGTCCCCAAAGGGTGTGTCCCCAATGGGTGTGTCCCCAATGGGTGTGTCCCAGTGGGTGTGTCCCAGTGGGTGTGTCCCAATGGGTGTGTCCCAGGGGCGTGTCCCCAGTGGGCGTGTCCAAGGGGGCGTGTCCCACCTCGTGCTCCAGGGAGCTGTACTCGCCCTCGGTGTTCTCCCTGACGATGAGGATGTCGATGTCGCGGTGCCGCGTCTCCACCCCGGGCAGGCTCTGGCAGTGGATCACGTTGGCGTAAAGGTCCAGGCTGGTCCTGCCCCCCCAGCCCCCAAAAAGATGCAGATGAGGCTCTGCTTCACCCTGGCCACACCCCCACCCAGTGCTCCCAGTTCCCTACCAGTGTTCCCAGTCCCCTCCCAGCACTCCCAGTGCTCCCAGTCCCCTCCCAGCGCTCCCAGTCCCCTCCCAGTCACCCCAGTCCCCTCCCAGCGCTCCCAGTGCTCCCAGTCCCCTCCCAGTACTCCCAGTGCTCCCACTCCCCTCCAAGCACTCCCAGTGCCCTCCCAGTCCCCTCCCGGTGCTCCCAGTCCCCTCCCACTACTCCCAGTGCTCCCAGTCCCCTCCCAGTGCTCCCAGTCCCCTCCCAGTACTCCCAGTCCCCTCCCAGTCCCATCCCAGTCCCCTCCCAGTGCCCCCAGTGCTCACCGGATGAGGTTGTTGCGGGATTTGTGGTTGGGGGGGAGGTTGTGGTTGGTCTCAATGTTCCCTGGAAAGGGGGGGAAGGAAAAAGGGGGTAAGGGGGGGTCCTGAGGGGCCTGGGGGGGTCCCTGAGGGGCCAGGGGGTCCCCAAAGTGTTAAAGGAGATCGGGAGGGGGTCTCTAAGGTATTGGGGGTCTCCAGGACGGTCCCCAAGCTGACAGGGGGGGTCCCCAAGGTACCAGAGGAACCTCCAAGCTCCCAGAGCCAGGAGACTCCCCAAAGTCCCATGGGGAGCCAGGGGGGGTCCCCAAACTGGCAGGGGGTCCCCAAAGTGCCAAGGTAGTTCAGGGGGGTCCCCAAACTAAGAAGGGGGGGGTCTTCAAGATACCAGGGGTCTCCAGAAGGGGTCCCCAAACTAACAGAGGAGTCCCCAAAGTGCCAAGGTAGTTCTGGGGGGGTCCTCAACCTGTGAGGGGGAGTCTCCAAGGTACCAGGGGTCTCCAGGGGATGTCCCCAAACTATCAGGGGGTCCTTAAAGTGCCAAGGCAGTTCAGGGGGTCCCCAAACTAAGAGGGGGGGGGGTCTCCAAGGCCCCAGGGGTCTCCAGGGGGACGTCCCCAGGCCGCCCCCAGCCCCTCTCACCCTTGAGGGCAACGTCAGGGGGGTTTCCCCAACCTGTGAGGGGGGCTCTCCAAGGCCCCAGGACTCTCCAGGGGGATGTCCCCAAGCTATCAGGGGGGTCTCCAAGGCCCCAGGGCCCTCCAGGAGGACATCCCCAGGCCGCCCCCAGCCCCTCTCACCCTTGAGGGCAATGCCAAGGGTTTCCAGGGGGAGTCCCCAAGCTATCAGGGGGTCTCCAAGACCCCAGGACTCTCCAGGGGGGTTTCCCCAAGCTATCAGGGGGTTCTCCAAGACCCCAGGACTCTCCAGGGGGTTTCCCAAGCTATCAGGGGGTTCTCCAAGACCCCAGGACTCTCCAGGGGGGTTTCCCCAAGCTATCAGGGGGTTCTCCAAGACCCCAGGACTCTCCAGGAGGACGTCCCCAGGCCGCCCCCAGCCCCTCTCACCCTTGAGGGCAATGCCAAGGGTTTCCAGGGGGGTCCCCAAGCTATCAGGGGGTTCTCCAAGACCCCAGGACTCTCCAGGGGGGTTTCCCCAAGCTATCAGGGGGTTCTCCAAGACCCCAGGACTCTCCAGGGGGGTTTCCCCAAGCTATCAGGGGGTTCTCCCAAGACCCCAGGACTCTCCAGGGGGTTTCCCAAGCTATCAGGGGTTCTCCAAGACCCCAGGACTCTCCAGGAGGACGTCCCCAGGCCGCCCCCAGCCCCTCTCACCCTTGAGGGCGACGCCGTTGCGCCGGATGGCCATGATGGCGTTGTGCACCTCGTCCTCAGGGGCCTCGGCGCCCACCCGCACCTCCTCGAAGTCCACGGGGACGCAGGCGCGCCTGGGGGGGGTCAGGGGGGGTCAGGGAAGGTTCCAGGAACACCCCCAATATTGGGGAGGGGTCCCAGAGAGGGGGCAGCACCCACCTGAAGACCTCCTTGACGTGCAGCATCAGCTCGGGGCCGATGCCGTCGCCCGGGATCAGCGTCACCGTGTGCCGGCCCCCGTACTTGGCTGGGGCTGGGGAGGGGGGTCAGGATGAGGGTCTGTACCCCCAACCCCATCCCAACCCCTCTTGCTGCCCCCCGTGTCCCCCTCCCCAATTGGGACCACCCCCACCCGCTGGGCACGCCCCTGTGGTTTTTTTGGGACCCCCCCTACGGTTTTGGGATCCCCTCTTGGGTCCCCCCGTGGTTTTGGGACCCCCCCTGGGCTTCCCCCACGGTTTTGGGATTCCCCCCTGGGTTCCCCTGGGTTTTGGGACCCCTGGATCCCCCACGGTTTTGGGACCCCTCTTGGGTCCCCCATGATTTTGGGACCCTCCTCCCTGGGTGTCCCCACGGTTTAGGACCCCCCCTGGGCTTCCCCCAGGATTTTGGGAACCCTCCCTGGGTCCCCCCCTTGGTTTTGGGACCCCCCCCGTGTGATTTTGGGATCCCATCCCTCTTGAGTCCCCCCGTGGTTTTGGGACCCCCTCTGGGTCCCCCCGTGGTTTTGAGACCCTCCTTGGGTCCCCCTGCGGTTTTGGGACCCCACTCTGGATCCCCCCCATGGTTTTGGGATTCCCCCCTGGGTTCCCCCCAAGTCTTGGGACTCCCCCCATGGTTTTGGGACCCCCCCTGGGTTCCCCCATGGTTTTGGGACCCCCACTCTGGGTCCTCCCGTGGTTTTGGGACCCCCCCTGGGTTCCCCCATGGTTTTGGGACCCCCCTCCATGATTTTGGGACCCTTCCTTGGTCCCCTCATGAATTTGGGACCCCCGCCCTGGATCCCCCCAGAGTTTTGGGACCCCCAGCTCCCCCATGGTTTTCGGACCCCTGGATCCCCCATGGTTTTAGAATGCCCCTCCTGGATCCCCCAGGGTTTTGGGACCCCCCCAGCTCCCCCGTGGTTTTGGGACCCTCCCTGGATCCCCCAGCTCCCCTAATTTTGGGAGACCCCTGAGTTTCCCCCATGATTTTTGGGGCCCCTCCTCAGTGCACCCCCAATATTTTTAGGGTCCTCTAGATCCCCTCCATGCTTTTGGGACCCACCCCCATCCGACCCCCAATATTTTTAGGAACCCCTCAGGTGCCCCCATGATTTTGGGACCCCCTCATGATTTTGGAGCCCCCATAATTTTGGTGCCCCCCAGTACTCACAATGCTGCGTTGCTGTAGGGTCAGTGGCGGAGGGAGGGGGAAGGAAATGGGGTGTCAGTGACAAATTTGGGAGTCAAGACCCCTAAGCCCCCCCCCTTAAAAAACCAACAATTTCCCCCCCCTTTTCCCAAATATCCAACCCTGACCCTTCAGGAACCCTTCCCCCAAAACAACCCCCCACCATAAAGGGGGCTCAGAACTCATCCCAAATTTGGGGGGTCACAAGGCACCATTGCCCCCAATACAAAGGGGTTGGAGACCCCCCCAGAATGGGGATGGTGACCCCCAAACTTCCCCCCTCGGAGATGGGAGGGGGACCCCCCAACCCAGAATAGGGGGCACATTTGACCCCTCCCCAAAATCTTAGAGGGTCCTGAGATATTGGGGGTGGAGGGGGGGGGGATTGAGGTGAAACCCCCCCCCCCCAAAAAAAAGGGGGGCACTCACGGGGGGGAGGTGGAGCCGCTCGACACTGTGGGAAATCCAGGCCTGTGGAATCCACACCTGGAGGGGGAAGGGGGGGACAGGGGATGTGACCCCCCCCACACCCAGACAAACCCCAAAGACCCCCCCCTTTGCACCCACCCAGGTCCCAAGAGCCCCCCAAAAAAGTAGCCAGGAGACCTCCCAAAAGGGCCCAACCCCCTCAAAGGACCTTGTGCCCCTCTCCCAGGGGCCCACCTGGCTCTACAAGAGTCCCAGGGACCCCTCCCCAAAGGGACCCCCAAAATGACCCCCTGAGACCCTCAAATTCCTCCCTGGGACCCTCAAATACCCCGCACGAGCCCCCAAAATGACCTCCTGAGACTCCCAAAATCGCCCCCTAGGACCCCCTAAAATTGCCCCCAGACCCCCATTTGTGCCCCTAAAATCGCCCCCCAGGGACCCCCCAAAATCAACTCCCTGAGATCCCCAAAACCCTTCCCCAACCTCACTTTGTGCCCCCAAAATCGCGCCCGGTACTCCCAAAATCACCTGAGACCCCCAAAATCCCCCAATATCCCCTATTTGTGCCCCAAAATCGCACCCCCAGGACCCTAAAATTCCCCCAGACTTCCCATTTGTGCCCCCAAATCGCCCCCAGGAACCCCTCAAAATCATCTCCTGAGACCCCAAAATGCCCCCCAGACCCCTCCTTTTTGCCCCAAAATCGCCCCCATGGAACCCTCAAAATCATCTCCTGAGACGCCCAAAATGCCCCCAAACTCCTCCTTTTGCCCCCAAAATCGCCCCCTGGGACCCCAAAATTACCCCCGGACCCCTCGTTTCTGCCCCCAAAATTTCCCCCGTCCCCAAAATCGCTCTCTCTGAGACCCCAAAATCCCTCCCCAGAGCCCCCTTTGTGCCCCCAAAATCGCTCCCCGGGACCCCCAAAATTCTCCCCCCTCCCGGGACCCCAGTTGCCCCCCTCCGGTTGCCCCGCCCCTCCATAAATATCAGCCAATCACCGCACAGATCACCACCCCTGGTCCCGCCCACCCGCCCGAGACTTAACCAATCAGCGTTGGCGATGCCGGACCGCACCCCCCCACACACCCCCTCATGGCAGCAGCCAATCAGAGCGCGATCCGTCGCCCCCGCCCCCCCGCGCACGCGCCGCTCCGTCAGGGCGCGGCCTCGCGCTGCCGGTGCGGCGGGAACCGGCCGGCGAGAGGGGCCCGTTCGGAGCCTCTAACCGGGGTCAGACCGGGCTCTAATCGGGCTTCGTCACTCACCGCTCGCCGCCGCAGCGCGGCCCGGACCAGGCGCGGCCGCGCCGCCGCCAGCGCCGCCGCCGCCGCCATGATGCTCCCCCCTCCGCCGCTAGGCGCAGATCTCGCGAGATCTCTGCGCCCGCCCCACGCGCGGAGCGGCGGCTCGGCTCGAAATCTCGCGAGAGTTCTCTGCGCCGTTGCCGCACCCCCCTCTCCCCTCACGCCGCCATTTTGTGCCTCGGAGCGGCCCCGGCGCGACGCGGGAAAGGCGGCGACGCCCCCGCCGTTTTGCCCCCTTGGGGCGGCATCGCCCGAGCGCGGAGCCCTTTGCTCCGCAACTGTGCTTTGCTTTCAGGGCTAAAAACATTAAAAAATGCACAAAAACGGGCGGGGAAGATCCCGCGGCCACCGCCCCACACGCAGCGGTCGCTATGGCAACGCGCGCGCTGCTGCGCATGCGGCAGGGCGGGACGGCGCCTCCCGCCGCCATTTTCCCCTCTTGTTCATGCCCCTCCCGTTTTAACCGCGCCCCTCCCACAATAACCACGCCTCTTTCCCGTTAACCACGCCCGTAAATTGCTTGGCCACGCCCCTATAGCTACTAGACCACGCCCCTTTTCCATTGACCCCGCCCCCCTCGAGAGCCACGTGGCGCGCCGGCCGCTCGCGCGCCCGCTCCCCATTGGCCGGAGGGCGCGCGGGCGCCCCGACTGCCGCGCTCTGATTGGCTGTTGCCGCCCGGGGGGGCGTGGCCAGAGGTGCCGGCGCATCATGGCGGCTCTGGGGGCGGTCGCGGTGCTGCTGCTCGTGGGGGCCATCGGGGCCCGGGGTACGGGGGGGACCCCCCGGCTGGGGGGGCTTTTGGGGGTCCTCTGGGGCGCTGGGAGGGGTCCCTCGGGCCGTTGGGGTGGTGTGGGAGGTGAGGGGTCCCCGGTTGTGGGGGGCTTTTGGGGGGTCCCGTGGGGGTCCCAAAGGGGGGAGGGTCCCGTGGGGACGTCCCGAGATTATCGAGGGGGTCCCGTGGGGGTAGAGGGGTCCCGAGGGATTGGTGTCCCTCCTCCCCACCTCGGACGGTCCTGGGGTATTGGGGTGTCGTGGAGGGGTCGGGGAAAACTGTGGGGTGGGGGGTCCCCGGGGGTTGTGAGGGCCGTTGGGGGGTCCTGGGGCGTTGGGGGTCGTGGAGGAGGGTCGGGGGTCCCGAAGTTGTGACAGCCTGGGGGGTCCCTTTGAGGATCCCCAAAAGTTGTGACAGCCGGGGGGGGTCCCTCTGGGGGCTCCCAAAGTTGTGAGAGCCGAGGGTCCCTTTGGGGGTCCTTGAAGTTGTGAGAACCGGGGGGTTCCCTTTGGGGGTCCCCGGGGGTTGTGACAGTCGGGGGAGCCTTTTGGGGGTCCCCAAAAGTTGTGAGACCTGGGGGGGTCCCTTTAGGGGTCCCCAAAAGTTGTGAGAGCCAGGAGGGTCTCTTTGGGGGTCCCCGAAGTTGTGAGATCCAGGGGGGGTCCCTTTGGGGATCCCCAAAGTTGTGAGAGCCGGGGGGGCCCTTATGGGGTCCAGTGGGGGGGTCTCCCAAGTTGTGAAAGGGAGGGGTCCCTTTTGGGGGTCCCCAAAGTTGTGAGAGCTGGGAGGGGGTCCCCAAAGTTGTGAGAACTGGGGGTTCCCTTTGGGGGTCCCCAAAAGTTGTGACAGCCGGGAGGGGGTCCCTTTGGGGGTCCCCAAAGTTGTGAGAGCCGGGGAGGTCCCTTTAGGGGTCCCTGAAGTTGTGAGAGTTGGGGGGGTCTCTTTGGGGGTCCCCAAAAGTTGTGAGAACCAAGGGGGTGTCCAATGGGGGGTTCCCTTTGAGGGGTCTCCAAAGTTGTGAGAACCAGGGGGGTCCTTCTGGGGGGCCCCAAAGTTGTGAGAGCTGTGGGGGTCCCTTTGGGGGTCCCTGAAGTTGTGAGAGAGCCGGGGGGGTCCCTTTAGGGGTCCCCAAAGTTGTGAGAGTCGAGGGGGTCCCTCTGGGGGTTCCCAAAGTTGTGAGGGCCAGGGGATCCCTTTGGGGGTCCCCAAAAGTTGTGAGAACCAATGGGGGGGTCCTTTTGGGGGTCCCCAAAGTTGTGTGAGAACCAAGGGGGGGTCCAATGGGGGGGTTCCCTTTGGGGGTCCCTGAAGTTGTGAGAGAGCCGGGGGTCCCTTTGGGGGTCCCCAAAGTTGTGAGAACCAAGGGGGTGTCCAATGGGGGGGTCCCTTTGGGGGTCCCCAAAGTTGTGAGAACCAAGGGGGGGTTCAATGGGGGGGTCCCGACCAACCGTGCCCCTTCAAACCCCCCCAATTCCCCATCCCATGGAGGGGGGGGGCGGCTCCAAAGTCACTGTGGGGTCCAATGAGTGCAAGGGGGTCCTGACACCCCCACCTCCTCTTCCCCCCAGGCGAGCCCTGCCCAGAGCCCTCCATCGCCCCCTCCTACTACACCACGTCCGACGCCGTCATCGCCTCCGAGAGCGTCTTCGTGGTGGAGATCTCACTGCTCTGCAAAAACGGGGCCCAGGTGAGACCCCCCCCAAATTAATTTGGGGGTTAGGGGGTGGGAGAGACCCCCTGACCCCCTGAGCGCCCTCCCCCGCCAGAACGTGGCTCTCATGCGACGTGAACGGGAAGCAGTTCCCGGTGACGCAGCGGGCAGGACGTGGGCAGGTACCAGGTGAGGTTTGGGGGATTTTGGGGGGTTTTGGGGGTTGGGGGAGCTCAGGTGAGTGTTTGGGGGTCTCCCGTGGGGGAGGGGGTTGAGGGGATCTGGTGAGGTTTGGGGGAGCTCAGGTGAGTTTGGGGGCTCAGGTGATTGGCAAGGGGGTACTGGGGGGGTGCTCAGGTGAGTTTTGGGGGTGCTCCAGTGAGTTTGGGGGCTCCGGTGAGTGTTTGGGGGTCCCCGTGGGAGAGAGGAGGTTGAGGGCATCTGGTGAGGTTTTGGGGGCTCAGGTGAGTTTGGGAGGGGGCTAAGGTGAGTTTGGGGGGCTCAGGTGATTGGCAGGGGGTACTGGGGGTGCTCAGGTGAGGTTTGGGGGGCTAAGGTGAGTTTGGGGGTCCTCAGGTGAGTGTTTGGGGATCCCGGGGAAGAAAGGGTTGGGGGCAGGGGAGGTTTGGAGGGGCTCAGGTGAATGAGAGTGGTCGGGGTGTTCAGGTGAGTGTTTGGGGGTCTCACATGGGAGGAGAAAGGGTGGGGGGGCTCAGGTGAGTTTTGGAGGGACTCAGGTGAGTGAGGTGGTTTAGGGGGCTCAGGTGAGTGTTTGGGGTCCCCGTGGAGGAGGGGGTTGAGAGGGATCTGGTGAGGTTTGGGGGCTCAGGTGAGTTTGGGGGGCTAAGGTGAGTTTTGGGGATCCCCATGGGAGGAAAAAGGGTTGGGGGGCTCAGGTGAGTTTGGGGGTCCTCTGTGGGGAGGGAGGGTTGAGGGCGGTCCAGAGTGAGGTTTGGGCGGGCTCAGGTGAGTTTGGGGGCTAAGGTGAGTTTGGGGTGTCCCCTGTGGGGAGAAAGGGTTAGGGGGCTCAGGTGAGTTTAGGGGTTGTTCAGGTGAGTGAGAGTGGTTTGGGGGTGCTCAGGTGAGTGTTTGGGGTTCTCCCGTGGGAAGAGGGAGGGTTGAGGGGATCTGGTGAGGTTTTGGGGGTTGCTCAGGTGAGTGGGGTCCCCCATGGGGGAGGAGGGTTGAGGGGGTTCAGGTGAGGTTTGGGGGTTCAGGTGAGTTTGGAGGAGGCTCAGGTGAATTTGGGGGCCTCAGAAGAGTTGGGGGAGGCTCAGAGTGGGTGGGGGCTCAGATGAATTTGGGGGCTCAGATGAGCGGGGAGGGGCTCAGGTGAGTTTGGGGAGCTCTGGGGGCTCAGGTGAGTTTGGGGGAGTTTGAAGGGGCCCTGGGGGCTCAAGTGAGTTTGGGGGGGCTCAGATGAATTTGGGGGGCTCAGATGAATTTGGGGTGGCTCAGGTCGTTGGGGCAGCTCAGATGAGTTTGGAGGAGCTCTGGGGGTCTCAGGTGAGTTTTGGGGGTCTCAGATGAATTTGGAGGGCTCAGATGAATTTGGGGGCTCAGATGAGTTTGGGATGCTCAGATGAGTTGGGGGAGCTCAGATGAACTTGGGGCGCTCAGATGAGTTGGGGCTCAGAAGACTTTGGGGGCTCAGATCAATTTGGGGGGCTCAGATGAATTTGGGGGGCTCAGGTGAGTTTTGAGGGGCTCAGATGAATTTGGGGTGGCTCAGGTGAGTGAGGGGGCTCAGATGAATTTGGGGGCTCAGATGAGTTTGGGGGCTCAGAAGAGTTGGAGGGCTCAGATGGAGTTGGGGGCTCAGGTGATTGGGGGAGCTCAGATGAGTGGGGGGGCTCCAGGTGAGTTTGGGGAGCTCTGGGGGCTCAGGTGAGTTTGGGGGAGTTTGAAGGGGCCCTGGGGGCTCAAGTGAGTTTGGGGGCTCAGATGAATTTGGGAGGCTCAGATGAATTTGGGGTGCCTCAGGTCGTTGGGAGCAGCTCAGATGAGTTTGGAGGAGCTCTGGGGGGCTCAGGTGAGTTCTGGGTGGCTCAGGTGAGTTTGGGGGGGCTCAGATAAATTTGGGGGGCTCAGGTGAGTTGGGGGGGCCTCAGATAAATTCGAGGGGGGGTCTCAGCACCCTCTCCCCCCAAGGTGTCCTGGAGCCTGGAGCACCGGCAGGCGCAGTCGGGCACGTACGAGGTGAAGTTCTTCGACGAGGAGTCCTACAGCGCCCTGCGCAAGGTGGGCACCCCCAGGACCCCCCCTTTTCCTCCTGGGGGGACCCCCAAACCCCCTTCACTCCTGGAGACCCTCCCTGACCCCCCACCCCTTTTTCCCCCTTTTTCCCCCAGGCCCAGAGGAACAACGAGGACGTGTCGCGGATCCGGCCCCTCTTCACCGTCAACGTCGACCACAGGGTGGGGTTTTGGGGGATTTTGGGGGTTTTGGGGGGGTCTTGGAGGTTTTGGGGTGTGCCACGGATTTCAGGGAATGCCAAGGATTTCAGGGGGTTTTTTGGGGGGGGATTGCAGAGGTTTAAGGGGTGGATATTCGGGATTTGGGGGGGTTTTGGTGGTTTGGGGAGGTGGGCGCTGGGATTTTTTGGGGTGGGGGTGTCAAGGATTTTCAGGGAGTGGCACTGGGATTTTGGGGGGTCCTCAGGGTTTTTAGGAGGCAGACACTGGGATTTTGGGGGGTCCCAGGGTGATTAGGGTTGGGTTGACAAGGGGATTTCGGGGTGTCCCAGTGTTTGTAGGGAGTTGTCGTTGGGATTTTGGGGTGTCCCGGGGTTTTTGGGAGGCAGGCACGGGGATTTTGGGGTGTCCCCAGGGATTTTCAGGAGGTGACCCTGGGATTTTGGGGTGTCCCAGGGTTTTTAAGAGGATAACACTGGAATTTTGGGGTGTCCCAGGGTGTTTAGGATGGGAATGACGTTGGAATTTTGGGGTGTCCTGGTGTTTTTAGGAGGCAGCCACTGAAATTTTGGGGCACCCCAGTATTTTTAAGGGCTTGACACTGGAATTTTTTGGCCATCCCAGAATTTTTAGGAAGCACCCCCTGGGATTTGGGGCCATCCCAGGATTTTCAGGAAGCACCCCCTGGGATTTTGGGCCATCCCAGAATTTTTAACAAGCATCCCCCGGGATTTTGGGGCCATCCCAGGATTTTCAGGAAGCACCCCTTGGACTTTTGAGCCATCCCAGAATTTTTAGGAAGCATCCTCTGGGATTTGGGGCCATCCCAGGATGTTCAGGAAGCATTTCCCTGGAATTTTGAGCCTTCC